CAAAAATTAGCGTTTTTCTCGCTAATTAAGCAAACTGATGCCAGCAGATAAAATATGTGAAATTAAATCTCTGACACTTTTTATTCAGGGCTCGCAGATCTAGGATGTCCTGCTGTTGAGAAAAGTACTAATTACGTGTTTTTTTTGTTTTTTGTCGCTAACGGTCGGGAGGACGCGTACGATGATGTCGCTCGCCTACTGCGGACGGTCGGACGGACGGTCGGACGGACATTTCGTTTGTATGACCCAAGACTTTCAGTCAAGGGAATAAATGCTATAACTTTGGAAAGAAAGATCGTGTAGAGCTGAGGGATGCATCATTTTAATCAGAAATTTGCGCGCTACAATCCTGCATTATTAAGAAAGGCTGGGTGATTTTTTGGAATTTCTGAAAAACTGGTTTTCCAGAAGACTGGATCTTCGAAGAGCTATGGGCCAGTCCCATGATCATATTCGGAATCAGCATGGTCGATAACCTATAACCCACTAGATGCGGATCAAAAAGCTTTTAATCACCTAGAAAGGTTCCCTCGTTAGTTACTACATACTGTATCCTAAGGGACTTTTACTGATCCTCGATTCTTACTGTCAGCAGACATACTGTTTTTGGTCTAAAGCCTGGTGATGATCAAGCGATTTAGTATTTCTTTTATTGAAGACTTATTGAACTTCTGATGTAGTGGATATTATTATGCGCATAACAATAATTGAAATCAATGTAGAGTATTAGCGCATCAAAATAGTATAATTTTTTGGACCTGCGTGGGTATCCTCGTATATAACTTTCGAGATAACTGTCAGTTAAGAAGTTACTTTGTTACTTTTAGGTCAGTTTTTATAGGATAAGCATCAATTTCGTTTCTCATGTACGAAGTCAAAAGTTAAGAACAGCTGTCATATTCGAAGTCAGCATCAAACTTTACCTCCAGCCTAACTGAGTCTGACTGCGCTCAGATTTTGCATGTCTACTTAGTACTACTACAACTCAAATCAAAATCATCGGGTTTGAGGTTCCTGAGGCTTATTTCGCAAGCTACCATAGTTTTGCCTAATTTCTCCGTTTTCAACCGTTAAAAAATCATTGACTTGTCGTCAATCTAGGCAAAACCATAGTAACTTAGGAAAATAAAGTCTCAGGAATCTCAAGCACGGTGACTTGGATTTGAGTTGTAGTAGTAATAAGTAGGCATGCGCCAATGCCGAGCACAATCGGGCTCTGTTAGCCTAGGCGTCATTTTAAGTTTGAGAGAAAAATAATTTGCCTATGTTAAGGCGCCGAAAATTCAAACTTAAGAAAAATTAATTTTTTTGATTTTTATATATGGTTCGATAGGGCTCGTCGAGCTGCGTAACAATATATGCGTTTTTAGATCTTCAAAAGAATTTTTAGGATCCAAAAATTCAAGAAACTCGAAATTTTCTAACCTTAAAACTTTTTTGTGAAGCTCTAAAAACGCATATATTCTTACGCAGCTCGATGAGCTCTATCGAACCATATATAAAAATCGAAAAAATTAATTTTTCTTAAGTTCTGAATTTCGGGTGCCTTAAGTTACATAGTGATACTATTAGTTTTTGACATTTTAAAGCCTTAGTTGGTGGTGCATCTGCGATGGCTCATTACTTTAATAGCTAGCTTAGATTAAATAAAACTTTATAAGCCAAGAATCTAATCACTAATAATTTTTCTTTTATTCCGACTTTGGATTATTTTGTTATTTGTATGTATTTGGAGAAAATTGAGTCTAAAGTTCTTTCTTATAACATCAAAATTGTCCTAGACTGTTCCATTGAAAACGAAACGAAAGAAAGACCTGATTCTTGTGCTGTGGGACAGCTTGTACGCTGAGCTTCATTTTAATAAAATATGTCTGTATTCGATGTCTGTTTTTCCTATTTTTTTATAGAAATAGTTAGTTTTATATTGATTTAGCTAGAATTTTCTGTTCCCTTTCGATTGGTTATCTTTATAACTGTCAATCCCAAGCAAAAATTGGGTCATTTTTGCTTGAGATGTTCTATAGGATACACCCTAGAGGACGTACTTGTGCCCAAGTATTCTGGACAAGTACTCCGCTTGCGTAACGAAGCCGGTACTTGTCTTTTTTCCAGAAATAACTTTACTTGCAAGTACTTGTCCAGCATGCACGTACTTGATTTTTCACTTGAGTCAAGTTTGTCAGAAGCACTTGTTCAAGCGCTTGTCAAGTAAAATTGCAAGTACTTGGATTGTTTTCAAGGTAATATTATGCGAGTGTTTCTCTATTGTCGCTTATATTCACTTTGTGAACTTATATTATTCTGCGTCTGAAGTCCAAAAAGAAAACACGTTTTCCTTAGCATAAGTAATTCATGTAAATAGATAGTGGCGTGCGGTTCTAATCTGTCTTATCCAAGCAACTGCTGATTTTATTATTTTTAGCTAAAAAAAGTGTTTATAAGTAGTAAATAAGCAAAACTGACAGCTAAGACACAAAGAGACTGTAAATAAGCGAGTAAGATACAGCTTAACAATTTATAATAAGAGATAAAACAGTAAAATAAATTTTCATAATAATATTATATGTGTATGAAGAAAGTGCACGTTTTAGTGTTTTAGTCAAACAGAAAAACTCTTTTGGTTTTCAAATACGCTTTTTTCGGTTTAGGGGATGAAAAAGCCCTTCCTTACCAAGGACTTTCATAAAGTGCTTCTTAGCAATAAAAGCAAGTATTTTTATCATTGAGAAGTACTTTTGGAAGTACATGCCATGTAATGGCAAATTGGCAAGGGTTTTCAAGTACTTGCATCAAGCACGTTCTCTAGAGCACAGATCAGATCTTTTGTAAAATGAAATTTTGGTCAAAAAGTTTTGATCTTCGTGAGTCTAATTTTTTGGAAAATCCTTGACGCCACAGCCACACGACATGACTTGTAGCCAAAAAGTATTGATTCCTACACAACTCGATATGAGTTATAAGCTGAGCATACTCAAATCTTGCCTGCGTTCAATCATGTGAGAGGCTGAAGCTCACCTTGTTGTCCGAGCTATAAGAATACTGATCTGGAACATACTTTCTGGTTTACAAAGCTTTGAATCGCAGAAAACCTAAAACTGTAGGAGTTCGTTATCGATGATTGAACTTCTAGTAATACGGCAATAGGCAAATCATATCAAGGAGACATCGTTGTTTATTGTCTAGTAGCGAAAGAAATATTAATAATATCAAGCAATTCTTGTATAATATGATATTTTCTCTGTAGCTGCTTGCAACAAACACTTCATTACTTAAATCTGTATCAGAATTACTAAATAAACATCGATGGTTACCATGCAATTCCAAGACTATTTCCACTACATATCCAGAATGGTTGCCATTTCAGTCAACAAATTCGTTATATAAAGCAGAAGATCTATATCCATCAAGCGCTGCGGAACTTCTTGGTGCCGTTGGCTCCAGTCTTTCACTAATAATCCCGGGGGCCATTAAATCTTGTCTTCGTTTCCGTCCAACTGCACTACATGATTACAGTGGACAACTGGAATCGATAATGAATCATTTTCAGCATGCAGAAAATCAGAAATCTCATTTTCTTATATGCAGTCTATATGCTCTTATTAATCAGACATATTCAGTCGACGAGATTCGTAAGAGTTTTAGTGCTCAAAACATAAATGACCAGATTTGGTTTGGTACTAATTTTGTACCTATTTCCAAGCTCGTACTGGATCCTCCATTCAATTTATTTCCTTATGCTGAGCAAATACCGTTAGCTAGTCCTATTCTTAAATTTGAAAGAATTCTACAAGCACTGAACATTCAGTCACGCTCAACAGAAACGACTTTGCTAAATGTACTCAACGATATTGTACAAAAATACGAAACAAATGCCCATGACCGTACACTAGCTACACGAAATGATGATTTTGATTTAATTCGTCGAATATTAGTTTGGTTTAGTAGTTTCGCTTCTCAAGAGAAATCGGAAACAAGTATTGATATTATTAAGCAATTGTATCTTCCGACAATAACACTAAATGAGGACAATAAGATCAATAGTGATTCAAATAAAAATGTGTCATTATCGTTTGCAATAATCGACGAATGTTATTATTGTGATCAAAAGTGGATGACAGATAAATTAGCTATTGAGTCGATACTAAATGAATTCAAATTGAATATTGTCGACGAAAATATACCAGTTGATATATCTGAAGTACTTGGTGTCCAGCCGTTGACCAGCAAAATTATGAATGTTAAAAGTTTAAGTTTCGTGAGAAATTGGGGACAAAAAGAAGAAATAACTTCTCGTATTCACAATCTCATCAAGGTGAGTATTTAATATACACAAATATTAAATAATTGTGGTAAGTATAACTATCATGCATGCAGCAAAACATTTAAAACAAAAAATGTAGAAACTTCATGTTTATTGTCAACGGGAAATCATACTGTGTTATTCGATTGCTCTTAGTATAAATTTTTTTATTTTAACAAGAAAGAAAGGAAATGGTACAAGAATAGAGTCGCTTGCTCTTAAGAACTCACGTCTAGTTTAATGTTTTATTGCAGCAGATATCTTACATCAGCGGGCGAATAGTAAACGAAAAACCAGTCAGTGTAGATGTAAAGCTTAGTCTTTGTCAACCAATGAAACTATTCGACAGAACGCATCAGATAACATTTGTCTCAACGGCTTGTAAGAGTATTTCGCATTCACACGAGAATTATTATCGGAAATGCGGAACTTGAATGCTATGCAAAAAGACAATAAATCTGTGGTTGTATCTGCTAACGTCTCCTAAGTAAAATGCAAGCATTCATTCTCTGCTTTGAATACATAGAAGATTCCAACTTTTCATAATGCAGCTTTTCTGGTGCAATGGTTGGTTAACACGGCTATGAATGGAATGTTTCGTGTTGAAATCTTGCTAGAAGTTTAAAATCTGCATTATTCTATAATAAAGGCATACAAAAAACTTTACAGTATATTGACGCAGCTTTAGTAGAATTTCCACTAGTCTTCGTCGAACCCAATTTTCTAGATGCAACAGATCTGCACTGTAGAGAAATCTCCTTAATATCCATTGTAAACCTTGTTGATTGTGTTTTAGGAAGGTTACACGGATGGGCTAGCAATATTTAACGAGTTTATTCAAAATGCCGATGATGCTCGAGCAAATGTAGTAAAATTCCTTTATGATAATCGATCGAATTTACAATGGACTACACATTTATTGGAACCATCTTTAGTACAATTCCAAAGTCGAGCCCTTTGGGTATATAATGATGCTGTATTCACTGAAAATGATTTTCAAAATTTGATCAGACTTGGTGAAGGAACAAAAGTGAATGACTTAGATAAAATTGGAAAGTTTGGATTAGGATTCAATTCTGTCTACAATGTAACTGATTTACCTAGTTTAATCAGTCAGCAAACATTAATCATGCTTGATCCACATTGCAAATACCTAGGAAAATATGGTAATGGCGGTATACGTCTTGATTTCACACCATCACAACGAACAATGCTTCGCAGTTACAAAGATCAGTTTGAACCATATAGTGGCATTTTCGATTGCAATGTTTGCGAACTTGTTGATGAATCATTTAACGGAACATTATTTCGACTTCCATTACGCACAAGTGAACAAGCCAAAGAAAGTTTACTAAGTAACACCGTTTATGAACATCATGATATGCTTGAATTATTAGATATGTTAGTTAAACGAGGTAGTCAGTTATTATTGAATACTCAAAATGTGTGTAAAATCGAGTTGTATGAACTTACATCACAAAAAGAAAAACCGAAATTGATGTGCACATTTGTGAAAGAACCTGTTCGTTATCTTCAACAGTATGACCTTACTAAGTAAGTGGTTGTTACAAATTCGGGTGCTTAACTGAATGTGATGAGAATTGAGAAATTGATGATTCATTCAAAAAATTAATTTTCTGTATGGTAAAAAAAAGTCGTCAAAACGTCGGCTAACCAAGATCAACAAAAAACATCTTAGGACTTAGCTGAAAAAACATTCGCTTTTTCTAGTGTACGACGAAATGTTACCTCTGAATGCTCTTCACGAAGTACCTAAAAAACACCGTGCAAAAAACTTTGTTGTAATTTTATTTATCGCTGAAGACATTTCTTTGGAGCTTCTATTTCTGAAATATGTTGAAAGGGTTTCAGAAACTTCTTTTCTGTAATTTAAGCTTGCCTTCCTCTTCAGAAAACACCTTTTGATTTTACATCCGATCTTGAAGAGACTTTCTGCACTAGTGGACTAAATCCATCTGTAACGACGAAATTAATTTTTTCTGGGTTTTGTAGAAGTTTTTTTATTGAAAGCTAAGGCCACATCCAAACTCCGCTCTCCATAGCTCATAAGAATCTCTTTCCTCCATAGAATCGAAGCGAGTAATTTTGTGCGACAAATGGAGAGAGAAAGAATATATACTCAGAGTTTTTTGCATAGAAACTGTTTCTGTACTATCATATATGATCAGTAAGAAC